AAAAAAAAACCAAAAAAAAAAAAACGAAAACAACAACAACAAAAATGTATCTCACAGAGGTGAGGGGTCATCTGCTGGGGTGAGTACACCCCGCCTCGGTGTTTGTGGCAGATCCAGCCCCTCACACAGAGGAACAACTGGGAATGAGGGAAGGAGGCGCAGGGTGGAGGGCGCAGCAGGACGCAGAGGAGCCTGAGCCAGGACCCAGGCAGGACCCCTGGCTCCCACACTGCCCACATGGCTGCGTGCAGGAGGGAAGGAAGTTGCTGCCTGTCTGCTTTTCCCCTCCTGGGGTTCCACAGTCAGATGCTGGGTGCCAGGCAATAGCTGATATAAGGTCACACCAGGTGTCCAGGGACACACAGGCCCCACCAGACAAATATGAGGACACCCTCCTGCCATGCTGTGCACACACAGGCCCATCTCAACACCCACTACAGAGCCATCCACAGAGACCCAGGGGCTCCCACCTGGGTGGTGGCCTAGCACCATGTTTTCCTCCACACCTGGGCAGGTCCAGGCCCGCAGGTGGTCAGGCTTGGGGCCATGTCCCTCCCTGAGGTCCTCCCTGGCCCCAGAGTCCACAGCTCGGCCAGCCCTCAGTCTCCTGTCTGTGTGTTGTAAAAATCAGACCAAGGCCCTCCCAGAGCTGCCGGGAGGATCAAGGGGCCTGGGGTCACTTGCTATGAGCCAGCGGTGACCGTGGCTATAGTCATTGTCCTAAGACAGGGGAACCAGTCCGTCATACTGCAGAGGGAGAACACTCCCACGGAGGCACAGCTTCCGGGTTCCACCCCTCAGCACCCCTGCTCCATTTCCAACACACACCGTAATTTTTAATTACTTTTCTCCTCCCTCGACTAAGAGGCCATTAGTGCCCCATTAGGTGAAAGCATCCCGTTTTCTCCCACCATCGAGGAAACAGTGATTTACTTAGCCTGCCCTAAAGCAATTCTGCAGAATAAAGGCAATTTAGCAGTGGGGCCCCTAAGCGTTGGCTGGACCGCCCTGTGCTGCTTGCTGAGCACAGGCCCTGCCCAGGGGATGGGGGAGGCGCAGGCAGGATCCTGGGTGTGTGTGTGTGTGTGTGTGTGTGTGTGTGTGTGTGTCCAGCTCCATAATCCCTGGCCCACTCTGAAGGGACCACCTGGGGAGCTGAGCCTAGGTACATGTCACTCTCAGGGCGAGGTCCTCTGCTCCAGGCCACTAGGGGCCGGGGCTGTGCCCAAGAATATGAGGGGAGGGCAGTGGTCCCAGGGTGTGGGGGCTGGGGTGGGCACAAGGGCCTGGCCCTTGGGTGTGGGTTGGGGTGGGCAGTGCGTCTACGGCCCACGAGAACATCCTCCCAAGGAAGGGCGGACAGGAGTCTCCGTGCGGCTGCACGGGTGTGTGAGTGTGAGCCGAGGGAGACCCTCCCCTGCAGAGACCCAGTCTGTCCTGGGCAACAGAGGCCACCGGAGTACTGCGTCCGCTAGAGGGCGCGGGAGTCCCAGCTGCTCGGTCCTCGCACCCCAGGAGCAGCGCCGGGGATCAGCTCAGAGACAGCAAAGCTCCTACCCTGGTACAGAGTCCCATGGCCCCTCACGGTCTGCCATCCCCTCCTGGGGGTGGTGAGGCCACCACTCCATACCCAGCGCCTCCAATCGTGGCTTGCTAGTTTTCCCAGGGTAAGAGGCCCACGTTCCCTGGACTGGTAGGCTGTCTGCGGCCCCCCAACTCTGTGGTCGGGGTCTCCACGGAAAGCAACCTGCATTCCTGCAAGCGTGCTGCCATCCCGGCCTGGCACCCACAGCCTCACCGGGCACGCAGAGGCTGAAGCTGGGGGGCAGTTGCAGGCGCCAGCTCAGGGCCTCTGGGTCACACTGGCCACAGACCCACAGCGCTCAGGCTGGACGGTGTCACAGGTGGAGACTTCGGTTGGCTTCTGCCCTGTGCCCAGCCTGCTGCCTGATGGCTTGGGCATTGTGTGATTGAGACCCAAACCCAGGAGACCCCATTCCCGTCCTACGGGATGGAACGGTCTTTGCCTGCGCCTCTGCGCAGCGCCTCTCCGGCTCCCTCCCTGCTACGCGGTGGGCAGCACAAGGCCAGCAGGGGCAGCAGCCTTTTCTTCCCAGGGGTGACGGAACGACGCCCTTTTGTGAGGAGCGGGATGGGGGGGGTCCCTTCTCTTTTCCGGAAACTCGGTTCGCCCTGTACGACTCGCCCTCAGTTAGGGCGGGGGCCGGCGCTCCAGGTGGGGTCACCCTAGAGTGCTGGGGGTGCTGCGGAGCGCCCAGCCGGACCACACCTCATAACAGACCCGCGCGGGACACGACGGCCGCACCCTGTCCTGCCCGCGCGGGTCCAGAGCTCTGGGCCGCCCAATGGTACGGGCGGGGAACTCGGCCCACGCGTCCGGGTGACCACAGCTTCTGGACCAAGACCCGAGTGGCAAAGCCACCTCGTGTGAAGAGTGAGGAGACCAGAGCCGCGGGAGAGCGGGGCTGCGGGGGTCCCACAGAGCCACACACAGCGCAGGCGTCCGTGCGTCCCCTCGTCCGTGCGCCCCGCCTGCGCCCCTCGCGGGTCCTGAGCCCCGCGCCCAGCGCCCAGCGCCCCAGAACTCACCTTCGCCGAGCAGCGGCAGCAGCAGCAGCAGGAGCCGCAGCCCCACGGCACCGGACGTCGCCTTCGCCATCGCCGCGCGCGGGCCGGGGACGCGGGTCAGGAGCGGCGCTCAGGCTGGGCGGCCCATACCGAGGGGCGAGGGGTGCGCAGTGCGTGGTGCAGGTGCGGGCGCGGGGTCCGGGTGCGGGATGCGGCGGCG